GCTTGGGTTCTTCGAAGGAACCTAGGTGCGGGTTTGAAGAACCCAAGCCTGCTGGGTTCTTCAAACCCATGCTTGGGTTCAAAGAACCCCAGGCACTAGGTTCCCTTGAACCCGTGCCTGGGTTCCTTGAAGAGCCCAGCATGCTTGGGTTCTTCGAAGGAACCCAGGCGCGGGTTTGAAGAACCCAAGCATGCTGGGTTCTTCAAACCCACACTTGGGTTCTTCGAACCCAAGCGTTGGGTTCCCCCAAACTCGCACTTGGGTTCCTTCAAAGAACCCAAGCTTGCTGTGTTCCAAGAACCCAGCGGCGGTTGTTGGTGTTTTCCGTTTAGGGTGTGAATGGGAAGGAGAAAAGATAGTGATTTTGGCAGGAGGTGGGCCCCACGTTTTTTTTTTGTTGGCTGAAATCTAACGTGTTTTAATGACATGGTATTGATGTGTCATAATATTTTGACGTGTCATCATTTCCTGTTAGTTAACGGGACACATCATTGGATTTTTAACAAAAGGACCAAATCAGGGATCCGTACAATAGTTTAGGGACCAAAAAAGGGTTTTAACCATATATATTATGGGAAATAAAGAAATATATTAAGTAATAAGAAATTAAACAAAATCTTCATCTCATGACATATAACCAAAATCAAAATAACATAAGGACAAAATCAGAAGAATAACTTACAGCACTAGTAATAGACTTAAACTATGCCAATGATAGATATAGACAATTAAGTAAAAAGAGTCATTTGTAACTAGGGATTGAATTTACAATCGTTGTATGAGCTAAATAGGGCTACTAATGTAGAAAAAGGAGTCCCTATGAGTATTAACAACTACTAGACATCCTCACCTATTTAACTAGCTTCTTGGGGAGAGTAAGGGATTTCAGCAACAAACAATCCCCAACCCACAAGTTGCCATCTTATTTGTTATTAAAAAAGAACAACCAAGAGAGGTATGGACTTTTTCTGACAAGCACAAGGCCCCCCAGTCACCTCCATATACTCCCAATCATGTTCCCATTTTTGTCGATCCTCTTCAAACCAATGTTGTCGAAACTTATTAAGGGAACTAGAGCCCTTTTGCCCACTTGAAAATCAAGCTTTATAGCCAACCTTACCAACAGCATCGTTTTCCTTCGACAATCAGCTAACTGATCGGGAATTGGTGTGAACCAAATTCGCCGAATTCAACTCTGCCAAGATCCCATCCGAGGAGATGCACCAAAGTGAGATTCTTGCCCATTAAATAAGAGAAACCCACTTCACTGGCAAGATCAGTTCTAATCACAGCCTTCGAAAATAAATAGATATAAACCCTAGAAAACCCAAAAAGCTGTTATCTTGTAGTCCCTTGGGTTGGAGTTTCTAAAGTAAGATAGCGACAAGAGGAAAGAGGAGACGAAGAGGAAGAAGGGAGCGGTAAGAAAAAAGGAGGGATGAAGGAACTCTTATGCCAGAGAAAAACCCTAAGAAGGAAAACCTGTCACCACTGCTTTTAACCCTAAAAGCAGTGCACGGTAGAAACTCTAGGGAGAAAAAACCTTAGGGAGGTTGAAATTGACATACTTAAAACATCATAAACAGTTGTAAGCATCTAATCTAATATGTTAATGATAATTTTTTCATTTCATTCAGAAGTAACTTGTAAATCAACATATATTTATTTATTAAATTGAGATTAATATGTATCAATTTTGATTTCTTAAAAAATTATAGTTCTAATCTATATTTAAAAACTAAAATTTTAATTGAAATTCCAAAATCCAAATAATTTTCACATCTAAATATTAATATTTAATAAAATAAATTCTTAAATTTTAAATTAGATTTTAATTAAATAAGATAACTTAATTTAAGATT